TCTTCTCGATTTATACGGTACGAGAGGATCCGCTCTGCCTTCCTGTCCCCAAACATTTCAGAATTCTCATGCAATAGGAAGGCAATTATGCAAGAATAGGATGGTGACTAGACAAGATCGGAAGTTGACAGCCCTTCCTTTCTCGTCATCCTATCCTCATCTTGACAAAGAGTAAAACGAGTTGAAAACAAACCCATACACCATGCAATCATGTGTGAACAATCTGAACTGTATGGATGAAAAACCTTGAGGCCTGCCGTCTTATTTAGAAATGCTGTCTTTGTAGATGTCCGGATTGGATATGGAAATCTGACACCGCTATTGTAGGACCTAAAGTTCATCTATGGGGTGACTATAACTTGGGGGCTGGGCCAGAAGTGAAACATGATGGGAAACAAAAACCAAACCCTATGTATGCATAGTCTAATCTTATGCATCAGAATCACAAGCAAGCTTATCATCATGCATCTTCAAATCAATCTTCCCGCTTTCCGTAGAGCTTCCGCATTAATCAGAATCTTCGTGCCTGGGGGATAAGATGTCATACCTGGGAGGGAGAAGGGAGAAGGGCTGTCAGAAATCCACCTGCGCAAAGTCTTCAGAGGCTCGACCAGTCAGTTCGCTGAGAAGAATCGTCTTGAAAGTCCGGCAGCATGAGAAGAATCACTGGCTTCTGGCCCAGCCCCCTTTCTTGCGTCGCTATCTCGTGCGTTTGCGCTAGCATTCCTAAGGAAGAAGCGCCTCTGCGCTTCGTCTGCTGATAGTATGACTGTAAAGCGCTTCTGTTCTATCTCGCGAAGCAGGAAGAATTGATGCTTGACGAAGCGTGAAGCATCGTCAGTCTTCGCGGAATTCAAGCAGTGGTCAATTTTGAACGGAAACTAGATGACGTGGCAAGACTCGGACTGACTTGAACTAGTGAGGTCTGATCCTGACCGTCGATTTTAAGTTCCGTGACCAAGAATTTGAGAATACAGGGTTTAACGTACACCTGGGCTTGGCGCGTCGGCGTTGAGCGCGGCCGCCGCGGAAACGCTGGGAGCCGCGTTGGCGGCCGCCGACGTGTTCGCGGACCCGTTCTGCGAGTTCTTTTTGTTGTGCTGGCGCGTCCTGGGGCATTGAGGGGTTTTCACACCGTCTGTCGGAGCCTTGGCGAGCAGGGCCTGAAGTCCTGAGGATTGAAGAGATAAAGAAGTCTGCAGGTAGCATTCGCTTGAAGGCGAGCAGGTGTGAATTATTGCATTGAAACGAAAGTGTGGTTTCTGGATTGCATTAGAAACCACGTATTTTCGTTCGGATTAAAAGGGTGAAAATACAGTGAATTTTGATTCGAACTGCCAGACGTGCACGGCAGTGCACGAGGTGGCTGAGAGAATAAGAAATTACTGAATTTTGGACGTTTTTATGCGAACGTAAAAATGTGGTTTCTAATGGCACTCATGGCTCCGGCCGGCCTTTGGGCCTTGGCTAGAGTCATGCCAGTAGCTAGGCGGTAATTTATTACATGTAATGCATGGCAGTAGCTAGCAGTGTTCAAGCAGTGTTCTGTTTTCATCAAGAGTACTCGTCCGGAGTCCAACTCCGGAGTCCAGACATGTCGCATCCGCACTAGGACCTCCAGGCTCCAGTAGGTCCTGTTATGTAGGTATACCTGAGCTAAAACTACCTATGTACCGTACTATCCGCTGTACGTCCAGTGTACGTCCGCTGATCAGGCAGCTGCCCAAATCACTCTGCAGTAAGTACTGCGTACTACCGGTACGTAGGTACTTCGTCTCACTAGGTACCTATTTTGAGATTCAGTGCTTGAGAATATCGATTCATGCTCGCCAGTAGGTTATCAGTCTCCAAAAGTACTCCATTTGGCGTACCCCCTCAAGTCAAAGCTGGTCGTAACTTGTAAGTCATTTCTTCTAGTAGGTATCAGTATCAGAAGAGATCTCGTTCACATACAATCTCACCTCGGTTTTCAGTGACCTCCGTTTTCACCATATCGCCAGCTTCAAAGAAAGTCTGAAACAGGTCCAGCCACCCGCCTCCGCCCTCAGCCCTTCAGATTCATTGTGACCAACTGAGGATGGCCTTTACCGCAATGCGCCTCTGCCTCTTGGCGCTCCTGGCGTCAGCTGCGGTGACTACAGTCTCAGGTATGTGAGCGATTCCGCTTATCAGTCCCATCATTTGTATTCTTGAACATGCTTTTTGCTGCCCACTTTGGTAATGAGGGGGGAGCGCTACCGCCACAGGTTCCCCCTAATCAAGGCCTGTTAATCGACTTCTCAGGGGGGGGGGAGCTTTTGATGTTGAAAACAGCACTGCTTGACAAGACGCCAAGCTGACCATGTGCATTAGAGGCTAGGACCATCTTTTGTACTGACTATTTACGGGATGAAAGAAAATATTAAAGGGTAGCTTCCTGGAGAAATTAAGCTTTTTGACTGCTAAGCAAGTAATAAGTGGGGTGAGCAATGCCGTTTCTCGTGTCTGCCTACAAGCTTGAAAAGGTAGTCTGCAATTGGAAAGCTGCATATCTGGTCTTAACGTCTTCATGAAGGTTTGTCTTCTGTATAAATAAAAGAAAGAGGCCCAGAGAATGTGAGTCAGAAGGAAGGCTTAGCTTCCGAGTACGGCATTGTTCTGGTTCATGCCATGTGCTTGCTTGGTTTCGAATCTGTTCTCAGTGCCTTGACTTGACGACTTCCGTTCCTTCTGGTTGGCACTGACATGAACTGCAAGAAGTATTTAAGATATCAATCAAATAGTAATGAAGCACGTTGATCTCTTATCATTGGTTACAACTTAAAAGTTGAGCAATGTGGTTGGTGGAGTGGAGCCTCCAAGCTCCACCTTGTTGAAAACAAACTAAAGAGCTTCCATGAGGTTCACTTTTGTCACTCTTTTCCACATTCCTCTTATAGTCTGGATTCTCAACTCCAGTGCTCCCCATTGTTGAATACAAACTGAAGAACTGTCATGAGGTTCACTTCTGTCATTCTTTTCCGCGTTTCCCATTGGCGCTAAATTCTCAACCCCATTCTTACAAAAGCGCTGAGCTCTTGAGAATCTCCTCTGACAGGCCTAGACGCAGCTGAGCTGTTTCTTGGCACTTCTTTCTAGTCAGAAGCAGGGAAAGTCCTTTCAAAGGTATCACAGTGTTGCGTTGGACCCTCAGTCATCATGCTGGGACTCCTTTCTCTGTCCCTCTCACTGTCTCCGCAGCTGGTCCTCTTAAAGGCAAAACCCGCTGCTTTCAAGGCAATTAGACTCTGGGCCAGCCACCAGGTCGAGCACTGCCAACCTCTCCCTATAATTGAACCCAATCCTTTCACCACGTGTCCTTGCAGAAGACTGCTCTGCCTCTTCTTTTGAGATCAGCTGATAAGGAACGAGGGGAATAAGGAATTTGTATGTCTATGCATACCTCAAACCAACTTGTCTCCTTCAACCTTGCAGGAGACTGCTCCACCTCCGCCCGGTTTGGGCTCTTTCGAAAAACCCAGAGGCAGAATTGATGATTAAAACGAAAGCTTTTTCATGTCCTTGTACAAGACTGGTCTACCCAGGCTACCTCTGCTGGGTGAAGCAAAGAACAGAGAAATGATTGACACAGGAAATGTGGGCTCTTTTAAAAAACACGAGGGAGGACTGATGGAGAACGTGAAGAAGCTTAACACGTCCTTGCAAGATTGCTCCCTCCCTACCCCTATTTGTCAAGTAAAGAACAAAGAAAAGCATGACACAGAAAACGTGGGCTGGATTTAACAAACCAACAGGAAGGACTAATGACGCAACGAAAGAAGATCGACACGTCTCAAAGGAGATTGCTCTGGCTCGACAAAGAACAAGGAGAGGAACGTTTGAAGATTCTCAAACGCATCCACTTTTCTCTGCAGGACAATCATGCTCCGCGCCTACCCCGAACCCTTGCTTCAGTGCTAACGGCTCCAAATCCATCTGTTGCGCTGGCAGCTGCGGGCCCTTCACCGCCACTGGCGGCGCCACCTGTCAAGGCGCGTCCGTAAGTCTCTCCAAAACCATTTTCTCACGTTGCTCGATAGCTAAGGGCTGACCTTTCGTTACGAGTCCTTTTAGCCGGCTGTCAAGGTCGCAGCCGTAAGTCAACAGACAGTTTACAATGTCACTATAAATGATAGCCTGAATTTCCGAGACCAAAATGGCCGGAACAAGCGCACATGCCGCATGTCGGACACGAATATTGGCATGCTATCAGCGGGTCCGCGGCGGGCGCCTGCCAGCTCATGGGCGTTCCGTATCTCGGACCGTGAGCACCATTCAAGTGGTACCCCATCGGACGCACCTCGTACATGGGAGGTATGAGCCGCGTGGTCTCATCGTAGATGGAGGCCTCAGACCCCGGATAGGGCGAGAGGACCGGCGACGGTCCTCGGGCGTCGGGCGTCGCTGCTATGGGAACCTTCGAATCGGGGCCATCTCCCGTCACGGACATGTCAAAGTTGCGCTTCCTGCTGAAGTCGTCTTGTTCCTTCTCGCCAGACTTCCGGGCGGTCTTGTGCCGCAGCCCGTGATCCTTGTTATGACCCTTGACGAAAGATTGCCCGTAGACCTCGTTGACGTATGCATACTCGAGCATTTCACATGTACCACGCCTTTAGTACCTTACGCGACAATATTTTTATTGGCTGAGTGAACCCCATCAAATGACATATGTGCCTGTGAATACGGGCATGTGTGCCATTTTATACTGGCCGATCTACGTGTGTGCGCGTGGGCAGCCCAGCTACTTGATCTCGACTTCCAGCTTGGCCACCTTCGTTCCCCCTGCTTGACGTCCAGGGGCGACTTTCCTCACCGTGGTTCGGACGCCAGCCGGTGCAGGAGCCGGGCGCTTCTTCGGCACGGTAACGGAAAAGCTGCTGTTACCTCCTGATAGATCTATAGAGGACACGCTCAAGCTACCGGTCTCGCTCCCGTCGACGCCCTTTGCCTTCTTCTTCTTGGGGGCGCTCTTCTTCGTAGACTCGGACGCGGAAGTCCCCTCGGAAGTCGTCGTCGTGTACTCGGACCCTGTGCTCTCGCTGCTCTCTTCGCTCGTCTCCGAACGAGGTCTCTTGACTCGCTTCTTCGTTTTCGGTTCTGCAATGTCCACCCTCTGCGTCGGGACGAATTCACCGCGCGTGGTCATAGGAGGGTCCATCAGGTTGCTGAATCCGTTTGCGGGTGGTTGCTGCTGTTGCACGAAGGAAGGATTGACGCCCTTCGCCATCTGTTCCTTCATGATTCCCTCCATCATCTTCTGAACCATTTCTGGGTTCTCCTCCGCGATCTTCGTCATCGAGGGAGTCACGGCTTTCATCATCGCCTTTGTGAAGCAGAACGTAAATGCATTGCCGACGAACATGGTGAGCAGTTGCATCTCTGGTGACACGGCCGAGGCCTTCTTGCTGTACTTTCTGGTGAGACGTTCGAAGACGCCGTCGTATCTCTCTATGCGCTCGAAGAGAGACTCGCTGAATCCCTGCATGTCCAGGTCGAAAGGGTTGAATTTTGCGTTGGCTATCTCCAAGCCCGCCGCGAAGGTCACCAGAGTCGATCTACAGAACTGGATGCCGTTCTTTATGGTCTCGTCTTGCTGGAAAGCTTTCAACTCGATCCTCATCTCCTCCAGATCACTGTCCATGTCAAAGGCCGTGATCCCCTTCACACCGTCCTCCTTCATCCTACGGAGAGCGAGTAGGATGTGTAGCTTCTCCTCCTTGAGGGTAGCGTAGCCAGGGGAGGGTTTTAGTGCTGGAGTCGGAGTCCTAGATCGACGATGGATCTTTCGTGATCTCGGGACGGAGACCAGGCTCGCGGTCTCGCTGTCCGACGCGAACATGGACCCTCTGTCTCTGGGAGAAGGAGACCTCGCCGGTGGAAAACCGCCCGTACGTTGCTTCTGGGGATTGGCCAGATCATCGATCCCGAGCAGGTCGGGGTAGTGGGGTGGTCTCCTTCGGACGTGCTCCCCCTCGGAGCCGTGCTCACTCGGGGCTCGTCCCCAAGCCCTTCCGGGGGCGAGGTCTGGGGTGCTGGACCTGTCCCGACGTGGAGATGGGCTCCTCATGGTAGGTAATTCCTAGGAGGGTACTCGGCGCGACTGGGTTGCCTCTCGATCGGCCGCATGGGACCTTTCGGACGCTCCTCCCAAGCAGGAGGCTGTCTCTCGTTCGGCCGCATGGGACCTTTCGGACGCTCCTCATTCGGACCCTCCCCAGCAGGAGTCCTCGGAGGTGGGTCGTCCAAAGTGGGACTCGGGTTCATGTTGATGCTGACATTGAGATCCGGGCCCGTAGGCTGCGTGGCGATTCGGACGGTGCCCCCCTCACCCTCCCTCTTTACGGACACCAGATTCTGCTGCGTTGGCTGCTTCGTTGGCAGTCCCTCTTGAGACTGCTGCTCCATCTTACTCTTGTGAGCCCCATAAAAGATACCGAGCTTCGGACGCAGCACTATAAAGTCGGGTCCAGGGCCCTCATTTCTTCATTCCTCCATAGACGCATACCGCGTTTCATTCCCCTCGATAATATTAGGTGCAGGGTAGCAGATATGGCGACCACTCAGACGAACAACCTGCCCGCGCAACAGGTGGTGGCCCCGAAGGCGAAGGTCACTAAGACGGTGGCGGGAACGAAGCGACAGAAGGTGGCGGCGAAGCCCGAGCAGATTCCTGCGGCAGAGACCGACGGGACGGCCTCTTCGGCACCACAGCCTCCGGCCACCGACATGACTATCCAGGAGGACGGGATCATGGACACCGCGGTCTCCAGCGGCGATCCCGTCCTGGGCAAGCTGGACGAAATCATCAAGATGCAGACCAAGATGCAGAGGGCTCAGGCGAAGACCCAGAAGCAGGTGGCCCTGATCCTCTCTCTGCTGAATGCCGAGGAGGCCGAGAGCGCCGATGGAGAAGAACCCACCGTGGGCAAGAAGAGATCTCGGGCAGTGGCGACCAAGGCGAAGAAGGAGCCGAGTGGCTTTGCTAAGCCGAGCTATCTGAGCCCAGAGCTGTGCGAATTCTTGGACCTCCCCATCGACAGCCAGCTCCCTCGCACGGAGGTCACGAAGCGGCTGGTCGCCTACGTGAAGGAGCACGACCTCCAGAAGGAGTCCCCGAACGATCGCGCTTCGTCTTCAGGCCCCTCGTGCAGAGCGTGGAGAGGTTTCGGCTGGAGCTCGGGGGTTGCTCGAAGTTCCTGGGTTTCCCAGCAGGAGTGAGTTCTTGGAACACCGAAGCAGCGAACGTCGGGGTGGATCCGAACGATCCGCTGTACGCAGGTGCGCTCGCTTCCCCCAACTACGCTAATCTCTTCGGGGACTCCTACGCCTTCCTCTCGTGCCCCGAGCTGAACACGAGCTTCCACGAGACCACCTACAATCGAGCTGACCAGATGCGTCACTCCCTCCAACCTCCTGCCCTCGAAGAACCACTCGCCGGTGAGGACGGGCTTACGCGCCGAGAAAAAGGCCCCTAGATCCCCGGCGACGGCCTGTGGCCCGTGCTCCTCGTCGTTCCTGCCACGCAGAGTGAGATTTTGACCTGGTTCGTGCACCACCCCCAGTGCCTCCGAAGGCTCGAGACGGACGACGAAACCGTCCTCGAGTCTCAGGACGGCGGAGAAACCGTCCAGCAGAGTGGCGCTCCTCACGTACTGAGCCTTTGACTGAGACAGAAAGCTGGGAATCACGCAGGTGTCGACGTAACCCGCTATGAGCCACTTCCGTTCTTCTGCACAGAGTATGGGGACTGCTTCTTCCCAGCGTGCCACGTTCAGGAACTTCATGATCTTCTTCTTCGAGTCAGGAGAGAGCGGGATGGCCTTGGCACAAGTGGCCCTGACGGCCGCCTGTACCGAAGACTGACAGCATCACAGAAAGTCCAAGATGACATCCCAGGCCTCCTGTGCTCCCTTTGCTACTTCTACTTTGGACCGCAACGAGCGCATCTCATCCCCGCACTCAGAGTCTCCAAAGATCTCCTCTTCTACCAGCCCATCAAAGAGCAGATCCTCCAGCGATGATTCGAACGCCACTCGAGCGCTGCGAAACGCCATGTGGGCCTGGACTGCAGAGTCCATACAGGTCTTCAAGAGCTGCTCTACTTGGTGATGGCTAGCTTTTGCGGAAGCCACGTCGCCGACCCACCAAGCTTCCCAAGCTTCTATCAGAGCGTCCAGAGCAGACCTATACAGAGGAACGACTTCTGCGACGCTGAGTTCATACTCGTGGGTCGGAGAGGCATAAACGGACACCAAGTGTGCGTGAAGATCCTTTGACGTTATGTAAGAAGTCGGACTGCTGGGCGAAGGAGCGGCGGGCACCTTTTCGAAAAGACTCTCTACCTCGATCCGAAGACTCGCCATCGTGGCGTGGAGTTGAGATTGAAAGAATGGTCGGCTCGATATCAGCTTTTATACTCGTGACGTCCGAAAGAAATACCTCGTCCGAAAAGCGGCGTCCGAAACTCACCTTCTCGGCTCACTGCCACTCTTCCTGTTTTCTCCTTCTCAAGCTCTCCCGCAAACTCTCGTTGCTCTTCCGCCACTTCCTTCTCTGCCGCTCTTCACGTCCTCTCTTCAACCCCCTCAAATGCAGCATTGTCCGGCAGTCCAGAACAGCACCCCTGCAGCGGGCAGCCAAAAATCTTCAAGCAACCAATGTGAAACCGAGTTTCTGATGGTGCCTCTGTAAACCTTCATCACTTCCCTGCGAGATGCTATTCAATGCCATCCACGGACAGCCTGGGAGTATACAGTCACCCTGCAAGGCAACCAACATTTTTGTGACAATATGGACAAGCCCGAATGTTGTAGAAGGCTGACAGATCTTGTTCCAAGAAAAGGTGACTCAGGAAGGCATGCTTACTTTTGTGGAAACACAATGCCAGCTTCGTCCAGCAATGCACAGATGTTGCCCTTGCCCACTGTTATTTGAATCTTCTTTTCAATCGACTGCCTTGACATGCTCCTATCCTATTTGCAGCGGCTATAATGTCTCTTCTGAAGGGTTCATTAATCTGCTGTAATTTCAAACATGCATGTTTCCCGCTCTTAGTAATCGCACCCTGACCAAGTACATTCGATACTTCCACCTCAAAGTTCCCCCGCCTGCCCTTACTAGCTCTGAGCCATGGTCCTGGCAACACTCTCCCCTCAGTGACGCAAGCCGCACATTGACACATGATGAAACCAAGCGGATATAGCTGCAGATCCTTACGGCAACGCTTCTTTCTTCCCGGTACAGGCTAACAAGCTGGAAATATGGAGTCCTGTCACCGAAAGGGCTTAGCATCGCACTTCGACCGGGCACCAGAAAGGCCGCAGGTCTCGGCCGAGAGGCGCCCGGTCGAAGTATGCACTTGCACTTGCACTTGCAGTTGGCCGACCGGGCACCAGAAAGGCAGCATGTCTCGGCCGAGAGGCGCCCGGTCGAAGTATGCACTTGCACTTGCACTTGCAGTTGGCCGACCGGGCACCAGAAAGGCAGCAGGTCTCGGCCCTCCTTCCAAGCATGCTCCAATCAGTAGATTCACCATTACATTTCATGAACTCCAAAGCCCTCTGCAAACGCTTCAAAACGCCAGTAGCGCTGACATCATCCAGGTCGGCCGCACGTACATCAGCGATCGTCGTCAGTCCCGCCCTATTGAACAGTTCGAGCAGGCGGCCATGGCCAACAATCTTCAGATCGCCGAGATCAGCACTACCAGGCATGTTTTGCAATACAATCTCTGACAAAAGATCGAGTTGTTTACAACCGTCCGATGCGAGTAAGTTATGATAAGGCGAGTTCAGCCTAAACTCGTGCCCGAGACGGAATGACACGTCACATACGGGTACGAAAGGGCTACATTCATCATAGTGTCAACTGCTGACCTGTATATGACATCACTATCGTGGTAGGCCCACGTGAATTTCTAATCGGAACGGCTGTCCATCCGGTTGCTGAGTTGTCAAACCCCCAGCCTACTAGGGCAGTCCTTTCGTGGATATCAGGGCAGTCCTCTTGGAAAGTCTACAAAAGCAGATCAGGGGCCTGTTGCCTCCAATCCATTTTTCAGAAACCTCGCACTTCTTGCCTCCAGCAACCACCTTCCATCTGTCCTTCCGTCTGCGGAATACAAGCCCTTGAACAGAATCATGCCTGGAAAAACCCCCATGACAGGTGACGCCGCAGCCAGGATCCAGTCGGCCACCGCAAAGGCCGGTGATGGAGGGGTACCGAAAGGCAGCTTTGCGGCAAGGGCTCAAAGTGCAGCTGCTACCAATGTCAACACCAGCGGGTCCCAGCCTTCCGGAAAGAAGTAGCTGCCGCGTAAGTATATGTTTGGGCATCTCTCTCAAGAATCTGCTTGTCAATTTGTTTGTGCAACCTGGAAGAGGTAGCTATGTCTATGATATGCACCATCTGAAAGACCGGAAGGTTCTGAGGAAGCCTGAGCTAACCATGTGATGCTTTCTGTATTCAGGACCTTTCGATTCTTGAGTCCCGTGGGATAGAGTTCTCGAGCAGGTTTGGGTGGACATTGTGAAGCTCCAGTAGAGGCGGGATGCACTGCACCATCTCAAGAACTGTAGGGTCCTGAGGAAGCCTGAGCTAACATTGTGTTCCTTTGTTTCTTCAGGACCTTACAGTTCTTGAGATAGTCCCACGGCATGGAGTACTCAGCAGGGTTGGTTGGACATTGTAATGCTCAGTGGAGGCGTATTGTACTCGAGGTCTGAGGGACATATGACGCTTTGATTGGCAAGTACCAGGATAGTCGCATGGCCCAGACATGTTCTTGCCAGCAGGGTACGAGCAGCTATTTTTCTGCTGCATAGAAAGGGACAGAGAGTTATGCGGGACATGCTGTATTCTGGCCATTGTTGAAAGTCTGTATCATTTTTTGATCAGGCGGCATGTTATGCTGATTACGCTGCATTGCATTGTGCTCGATGGGGTGTAAGGCTTGAAAATAATAATCTTGCTATATAGTACCCTTGGCATGCTAAGACAGGCACAATGTAGCATTATATGCAAACACTTGGTTCTGTTCGCAACTTTCGCTACCCTCGTGCTGATGCCGAATCCTGCCCTGTGTGGAAGGATGATAAAATCCGATGGTGCTTTCGAGACATGGACCGATAAGATGGCAGATGCGAATGCTACCAGGAAGACCATGTTTCGGGAGACGAAGTGCACGCCGTTCTGCGAGAAGGCCAAAGAGGGCCTCGAGAGAGGAAGCGAACGTTCCTATCTGTACTTGAAGGTGAAGGAGAACTCGCCATTCGATGCATATTTGCGCTCCGTACAAGGTGAAATCCTAGGAATCCTCGCGGAGGAAGGAGTGCAAAAACATGTGAGATGGCCTTACGATACGACCTCGATGGTGCTACGCATCAAGATTCCCATGAGTCACGGACGAATGGATGTGAGATGCTTCGATGCCGATTCTCATGATGCTCTACCACCGGCTTCTATCGATGAATGTATGAATATAGCAGTGAAGATGGCCCTCTCCGAAACCTAAGCAATCCGTTCCAAGAATTGCCACCGCCTTTACAACAAATCTCGCCGCGGAGAGATGGTGCGTCGACTTGGGGCACCCACCGAACACGTAGAAATTAAACCACGGCATGATGATTCTCACGGCGAGCTCCGAGCGCGTTCGACAGGCGGTGACCAAGTGTTCGCGCGAGCTTTGGTCGCATCAGCTCGCGATGATACACCGTTGCATGAGGCTCGAGCGCGAGGGTCCCGTGTTTGGAACGTTGTGCGACCCCCCGGGAACCGGCAAGACGCATGCCGTGCTCGGGCTGGTGGCCGCGTCGTCAGGTAACGGCCTTACCGTGATCACGGTGCCACACAATATTTCTCACAATGGCGACTCGCTCTGAAGGACTTTGAGCTAAAGGCGCTGACCGTCGTGAATTACGCGGATATATGCTCCCTCTTTTTTGAGTGGGACCAACCGTTCAGGAGGGAGTTTTCTCCGCGACTAGAGGGGCTGGATCTGATCCTCGCCTCGGACGTGTGTTTCGATCCCCTCGCGAACAACCTGCAAGAAGTGGGGATCAAGGTGTCCAGGTTGGTCTTTGACGAAGCAGACACGATCCGCTATTGCGTTCGAAGCCTGGGGGACGCTCGGCATACGTGGCTCGTAACGGCTTCCTGGACCGAGAACGACGACGGTACTTGGAAGGGGCTACGGTCGGGGCGTCTCGACAGGGTGCAGTGCGAAGCAAACTTCATCGCTTCTAGCATCACGTTGCCGATGCCCGTGTACTCGACCATCGTGTGTCGCAGCCTCCACACAGATGCTGTACTGCGGTACGTACTGGACGGAGAGGCACTGGAGGCCGTGAACGCCCTGGACTACGCCAGGATCGTCTCGCGGCACAACCCCCGCGCGGTCACCAGCGACGTGGATGCTATAGACGTCCTGTTGAAGGACGCCGTAGGTGATACCGAGTCGCTGGAAGAACGCTTGAGGAGCTGTCTCGCGGCGCTGCAGCGGCATGACATTTCGCCTAGGGACGTCAGAGTGTACGAAGCAGAGCGGGAGAGTGTCACGAGCGCGCTCGAGACTGCTAGGAGGACGGCAGACAACATCCGCGCTCGCCTTCGTGACGCCGAGATGTGTTTGATATGCTACGATGCATTGGTCGACATCGGGACGAAGGTGATGACCAACTGCTGCCAGAACACTTTTTGCTTGGAATGTGCGAAGGACTGGTGGAGGGGCTCCGCATTCAAGAATTGCCCCGTCTGTCGAGAGAGACGAGCCTTCGAGGACCTTG